GCCCGGCGTCGCCGCCTCTCCCCCGCCCGGGGGCGGTGTGGAGCCCAGGCCCCCCGCTGTTTCCATCCGGGCAGGGGGGAGCAGCAGTCCCTCCGCTTTTACCCTTGGGGGGAGGGGCAGACTGAGGAGCCTTGCTCCCCTGCCTTCCCCCCCCCCTTACCCGTCTGTGCCCGCTGGGTGAGGACGTGGCCCCAGCACGGCCCCGGGGGACGCTCGGCGGGAGGATCGCGTAGCCTTGCCAAGGGGGCGACCCAGAGCCATGTTCTCCCAGACACAGAAGGCCTTGGGGCCTGGCAGTGCCAGCGACAGCAGCTGCCCTGTCGTTCCCTGCAGAGCCTGACACCAGGGCAGCGCTGAGCTCCTGTGCTTCAGGGACTCTGAAGGGGAAGGGCAAGGGACCCTTTCACTCAGTGGAAAGTACCTCTGCCAGCTCCCATTCACCTCAGCCTGGTTTCCGGTGGTGCCTGCTCTCTGGCCAGGTGCAGGATGGAGACCTTGGATGAGTTTGACGACGAGTACCCCCTCAGCGTGTCATTCTGCAAGCTGATTTCCCTAGAGGACTTCGAGGAGCAGTCCTTGTCCTACACTGAACAATGCCTGCAAGAGCTGGTCACAAACATGGAGCAGAGCCCAGGGATCTGTGAGAGGGTCATGAGAAAGCGGAAGCAGGTGGAGAAGGAAGAGGCTGGCCTGGTATCATTTCTAAAGGTACCTGCCGTGCCTTCACAGAGAACAGTTCCCCGCAGACTACCAAGGTTAAGGGAGATCAGGTGTATCCAGGCCCAGGAATTGCAGCTGTTTTAGTCCCAAGGACAAATAAGTTTGTAGTTTTGTCCCAATGCCCATCCCTTCTCTTCCACAGGCTGCTTCTGCCTGGGCCACGAGGGGAGGAGAAAGTGTCTGCCTGCTGAATAGTAGCTGAGATTTTTCTGAAACCTGCCACTCTCCAGGGTTCCCTCCCCCTGGCCTGGGATAACAGCTGGAATATAGCTCTGTCATATGCCTTGATAGACCACCTGTCAGGAATGAAGTGCTAGCTTGGGACCAGAACCCAGATCCCCTCGTGAGGGCCATGACCGAGGTTGCTTATCCACCAAATCCAAGGTGGATTTTAGCTTTACTGAAATCCATCATTGTAGGTATAAATGTTTACCTTGGTCAGTAGGAATCTAACCATGTGATTTCTACTAATGGGAATTCGTCATGGGAGTAAGTTTCCATCATGCCATGGAAAAAATTACTCAGTTTTTTTAGCTGTCTCTTTAGGGTGGGGGAATGAAACGCTACAGAAGCTATCGGTGAACCCCTCCTTTTCCTGCAGTAAGGGATTTTTAAGTTAAAGATAACGAGCACGCACTAGAGACCTCTACCTTCAGTGTGACATTGGCTTTCCTGATGTGAACCTGATGGAAAAGCTGAAGGCATCTGATGATTCTGATGCAGCTTATACAGGTCTGCATTTGTTTTGGGGCCCGCAAGCCTGATTCTCATTTATATTCTGGCTGTTTTACACAACTTTGGTCATGCGAGGGACCTTAAACTAGCTATAGCCGTCCCCCTGAAAATACCTCTTGCGTCAGAAGTCTCCTGACCAGTATAAAAGGTCATTGCTCCTATTCACAGCCCTTAGCAACAGGACTGTGTTACATCACACCTCTTCTCTGCTTTCCAGGGTTCATAACAGATTATGGGAAGCAGAGCATAGTAGCAGTTTAGAGACTGATCTAACTTATGCTGAAGCTAGGCAAGGCCATGTACAGCACCAGAAAGGTATATAAAGACTATTTGAAGTTGCTTTGTCACCTCATATGCCTCCCTGTCCCAAGTTCAGGAACAGATTGACCAAAAATGCAAGTTCCTTATGCTGGGAGAGTGTTTGGGGATCTGGAGCCATACATAAGACACCACACACATAACAGTTGGTATATGGCAGAAGTAGGCAAAACGTCAGATTGCAGCAGATTGCAGTTCTGCCCTGGCTCCAGACCATGCTGTGACTGCTGCAAGATGACTTGTCTGCCCCAGCCCCAGGGCAGCTACCTGCCCAGGCATGAGCCCTGCCAGTGCTGCTGGAGCTGATCTCTATGGAAACCCTGGCCCTGAGCTGTCACATCCTTGGTGCTGCTGGGGTCTCCGTAGAAACTGGCTGTGGCAACAATGGCAGGGGCTGCTGGGAAATGGAGTCCGCCATGGGCCCTATCCAGCCCATGGGCTATACTTCGCCTGCCTCGGTATGTGGGATGCTGGGAAAATGTTGAGATGGTTTTATGACCCAGTAGTCCTGTCTTTGTTATTAAACCCCAGTAGAGGTGAACAGTCAGTGCCTCAACTTCCCTTTCCCCTAATGTTTTTTTCTAGGCCAAGTTTTTCGGCACACTTCAGGGGGAGATGAACTACTGTAACTATGTGGGGATCGCAGAGATGCAAGAGAAGGTGGCACGGTTGAAACGAGACATACAAAAAGCAAACAGCTATGCTCGGGGTAATCCCTGTATTTTAGTTTCCCTTTGGGCCTGGGGCCATGGTAGGAATTTTTCCTCCCAGACTTGTGGTTTCCTCCACCCTCTGGCTGCTGATGCAGAAGAGGAAATGAAGCAGTATTATGAGTGGATGCCTGTCCTTATTGGCAAAGTTTAAAGCAGGGGGCTAAGCACAGGCTTGTAGCAGCTAAGCTCTTGCACTATAGGCTTGAAGCACAGCATGCTTGACTCCAACTTTCATCTTTCTGATGCAGTTTTATGCCTGGTTACTCAGACAAGATCCTAGTAAGAGAAGTTGTGGTATTTAGTTAGACTTTCTCTAATGCTTTTCATCTGTAGATCTCAGAGTTCTTCATTGAAGTATGCAGAGTTATCACTTTGACTATGTTGGAGGCAACAGGCCTAGGGAGGTAAAATTGCTTTCTAAGTGTCACAGACTGGGTTGACAGCAGAGTTGGAGACCATGCCCAAGTTTCTTGAATCCAACTATCTCTGGTGCTCTGGTCCCTGGAAAACACAGTTTCCCCAGTTTGTTTCAGTGTCCTTAGCCAAAGTTTTCCCTCTTCTTCCCATGGGGCTGTTGTGTACCCATCCACCACCCTCTTACCTCAAAGCTGGCTGCTGTTTAGGGTTTTTTTCAGGTACATGGTTTATGGAGCACTTAAAAAACTTGAGGACAAAAATATGTAGGAAAAATTGAGTTCTGTTTGTTAATTAGCCTGCTTATACTCGGATTGTCTGTCCAGTCCAGCACACTCCAGGGAGATGACTCTGGTGTCTCTGTATAACTCCTCCTGCCTATTGGTTACAAGAGCTGCAGGTACAGATGCCGTGTGTGAGAGAGAAGGGGAGACAGAGAGAGAGAGAGAGAGAAAGAAAGAAAAAGGAGGGGAGAGGGAGTTTCTTCCCTCCTCACTCCGATCTAATTGGTAGTCAGGACTCTTTAGGTCTATACACAAGTCTTTACAATTGCCTAGTTCTGACCTACCTAGTCAGAATAGTAATGAAAGCACAGCCCATGGGCAGGGAAGACCACCCTGCAGCCCCACTTTAACCTGTCATGTATGGGACTGTAACAGGGCCCCTACCCCATTACTGAGAAGGGGAAACAAACCCTGGGGCTAGTCAGCCATGCAAGCCCCCAGGTGCAGATTTAAGGGTGCAACAGACTCACATGAATGCTTACCATGGAGCCAACAGCAACCTCAGGGGCCGAGGACCTGCATAGAAACACACAAGGTCCAGCAACAAGAGACCTCCCTGAGGCTACTCTAGCAAGCCAAATCAGGCAACACCTGCAGCAGCTCAAGAAGTAAAGTGACCAGCTGGGGGCTGTGGTGGGCAGCCATATAAACCCAGGCCTGAGTCAACATGGGGCAGTCTGGCCCTGGAAGGTGCAGAGGAGAGTATGGAGGATTGCAGAGCTACCTGGAACAGCTGGCAAGATGCTTATGATTTACAGGTGGATTGAGCCCAGAGTAAGAGGAAGCCTGGTTGTACAGCCTATGGGCTAGGCTTAGGTTTGAGCCCAGTGTGGAGATAGTTTGTGTTATAGCCAGGGGGCTCATGTCTTTAGTTTGTTCTAGTGTTTGTGGGTGGGACTGTGAGGGCTGGAGTGGAGGTCCCATTAGTGTCCTAAGGGCACATGCTTGCCTTGAGACATGCTGGGGGCAGGCTCAATGCATACTGAGGGAGCAGTAAGCTTGGAGCAGGGGAAAGTTGGAGAGCCAGGGAACCCAGAGCCTGGGGCAGGGTAGAGTTTGGGGTTGGGGAGCCCAGGGCACTGTGCCTAGCTTGCAGGCATCAGTGACAGAAAAAGGGGGCTGAAGAAGGGAAAGGCCAAGTCCTAACAAGAATATAAAGACTTGCAGTAGCCTGGTGTCAAGTTAGGACCAAGTGCCCTGAAACACTTAACTAGCCCTGGGAGCCAGAGAGTGAAGCCAGGCTTAGGTAAATTTGAACTCTTCCAATAATTGCATATCCTTTGAAAGGACTGTGTTCACCACAGACTGGATTCCAGCCTCTCGATGAGTCCTGCCATATTTTCCTTTTATTTGCATCCTTTTGGATGTGAACTGCTCTGGAGGTTAGAGGATATTCTCCAGAACATAGAAGTGGTCCAACAGCCTTTCTATCTGGCCTGGCATCCAGTCTTTCAGCAGCAACAAAGGCGTGAGGCTCCAGTAAGGATAGAAAACCTCTCGGTGTCGCAGTACACCAGCTCGCACCACTTCTTGGGCACATTCCTCCTTGGGATTTGCTGTCATTCTGACTTTATCACGAACAGATTTCACAGCATTGTCTGAAGTAAAGGGAACAATTATCAGAGGGTGATGTCTCTTCTGTCCTTTTCCCAGAGTAAAGGAGAATGTGGTACAAGTGGCTGAGCTACAGGAAGCAGCTCTTGAGACTATTCTCTAATGCTGAGACTGCTTCTAGTATATCTCTTGACCTCCTATAACCTCTTGATACTTACTCTTGGCCTTGGAATTACATTATTCCCCTCCTGCATTACTTATTATAGCCTAATGGCTGTGTCTCTGCCCAGAAGCGAAGTTACAGCATATTGTTCTCTTACCTGTGTCAACATATCCCAGAACAGCAATTGTGACTGAGAGATTGATCTGCTGAAGGTTCAGCTCCCTGCGTAGTGAGCTGTAGAATCCTTCCAGAGCAAACTTGGCCGCACTGTATGAGAGGGCAAATGGGGCTCCCATGCGACCTGAGAGTCAAGGTGATAGAAATAAGTGAGTTTTCTTCACGGAAATGATTAATTCAGAAACTATTATTGGCAAGGTTAGGCAGTTGAGAACAAACTGGAGTCTCCTGCATATCTCTGTGTAAATAGTGTTCAGGTTATTTTTGTTTCATATCTGATGAACTAAATGAAAAAGGCTTCTAGCTGCAAGATGGGACAGTTCTACCAGGTTTTGCTGGGCTTATGTAAGACCTTGTAGTTTGAGAGCTGGACCATTTTAGCACCTGGGAGGAGACTGCCCAAGTGGCCTGATACTGTGGTCAGCAGTGTTGATGAGTTTGGTAGTATTTTGCTATGATGTACATTACTCTGACTAACCCAGCAGAGATGGCTGCATTTCATTGGTAGGTGAGCAATCCCAGTGAACAGTTCTAGATCAGTTTGTAAAGAGCATTTGGAAGACTAATTTAGAGAAGAGTTGCAATGATGCCTCCTTAGTCACCAAGGAGTTAACAGAGCTTCCCTGGAACTGAAAGCCCCTGGGACAGGCAGGAAAAGAGAATAGTATTTCCTGTAAAGTGGAAACAATGATTTCCCTAGTATGGTTAGGCATGGAGCCAGCTTGACTTAGAGTAGTACAGGTTAGGTAATCCACTGGCAGGGAGCAGCTTTCCTTACCACTCAAGGAGGAGATGACAATGATACTGCCCTGAGACTCCTTCAGCATAGTCATGGCTGAAGCAGTCAGCTGGACATAGCTCAAAAAGTTGACAGTCATGGAGCTGGTCACTTCTGTCATATCTCCCTGAAATGGGCCAAATGAACCAGTTCCTCCAACGTGGTTCAAAACTAGGTAGTCAAGGCCTCCTGGAAAAGGAAAGGAAACATAGATTCAGAGGGAGCATATGGATCTGTTTTGGGGTCAGGATGGTTGGGATACAGTATTCTTCTCTCTAGTCTTCAAGACACCAGCCTGTCCTCTCGATGCCTCAACCTCCCTTGTGCGAGGGAGAAGTGTTTCAGGAAAAGGCAATGCAGAGGGCAGGTGTCAGTAACCCAAGAGAGGTCCCACTTCCCATTTTTTCAGAGGACAGTTGCATTTTGCTATGAACCTGGAAAGCATACCTAGTTTGCTTCCAGCTTCTTCAATGACTTCCTGGGCTGAACTCAAGTTGTTCATGTCGGCCACAACATACCTGGCAGAACTCGCCCCCAGTTCCAAGCACTTCTTTGCCACCTGGAGAGAAAAGAGCAGCCTTCAGCACAGCCAAGGTCAGAGGACTTGGTGCTGCTGCAGGCTACACATAGCAGCTGTTCTGTGGCACAGGGGAGAGCATGCAGCCATTTGCTTTAGTTGGACCCTGGTCAAGGATGAGGCTGGAGCTCATTTAACATGCCAAGGAAGAACTAACTGTATATGAGGAGTTACGCTGGGCAAGAGAGCAAAGAGGTGATGGTCTACAGCAGTATGCTCAAGGCCAAATCCTGGGCTTAAGTGTACACACACAGTTCCTAGGGAGGCTATCGTTTCTAATGGGGTAGCCACTCCGGTGCCCTTTGGTGGTGGGATGGAAAATGATGTTTAAAAGGAACCCAGAGGTTCTGTTTCTTCCCCCACTTTGGGCTGCACTCCCTTGGGGTTCTCACCTCCTTGAGCTGCTTCTCCCTCCGAGCGGTGATGATCAGGTGGGCTCCCATCCTGGCAAACTCGTAGGCTATTTGTTCCCCAATCCCAGTGCTTGAACCTGTGACCAGCACACGCTTCCCTTGCACCATATCTGGAGGTTTAAGAGACTCATCAGGAATTTTGCTCCCTTCCCAGTACTGTGAGCATTGGTGCTGTCATAGCAGTTTGCAGAACCCCAGAACATTCAGCACTGAGTCCTGATTCTCTAAATCTCACAAAAGGAAGAGAAAAAGGGCCTCCTTGTATGTAAAATGGGTGGAGTGGTGCTTTCCTCCTCCAAGAGGGGTCAAAAGTGTCACTTTGCAAAGTACTGAGTGCTAACAAAACTCTTTTAAAACTGGGTAGTAGTAGCCCCTTGGATGTTCTAGGGGCCATTGGTTTTCTGTGTAATTGGACAAATTAGGAGGGGAAGGACCCATTGCCTCATTCTGTTCTGTGGCCAGTGCAGAATAAGGTATGTCTACTGGAGTCCGGTTAAGGCTACCTTTAAATGCCAAAGTGGCAGGCTTTCAAGCACTTTCCTTGGGAGACTTTTCCACAGGCTATCACACCCCCCTGCCTTCCTGGTTTTGCCTGACACTGGCCTCCAAGAAGGATGCCTGCCAATGGATCTGTGAGCATCTGAAGTCCCAGGGTGATGGGTCTGGGATGAAGGATGCTTGCCAGTTGTAGCACCATGCATGGTGTTTGGAACAATTGTGTTCTGTCTGCTCAATCAATATGGTTTTTGGAATGACTGAATTCTACTCAGTTAATAATATTTGGAAATGACTTGGCTAATTTGACCTGGAATATGGAATACATTATTAAAAAAATACAGAAAGGGTTTTCCAAATCTATCACTTCTGTGACAGTTCCCAGTCCCCAGAGGCAGCTCAAGGCAAACACCAAAACTCTGGTCCCCCGTTTTTTCTTTTAGAAAGAGAGATGTTCTCACTTCCCTTCTGGTCAGGTTCTCCATCCTCTGGAACAGAGTTATCTCAGACCCCTCCATCTTGCTGAACAAGAAATCAGTCCGTCCTTTGACATTGAGGGAAATCTGCTTGTTGCAGCCATGAGCTTACTTTTCCTTAGCAAAGTCTTTTGCTTGTCCTTTGTTCCTAAGGTCATCACTAGACTGAGCCACCAACCGACCCCCTGCTTTTTTTGTTTTGTTTTGTTTTACGCTAATGCTTTTTGCTTTCATTTTCCATTTTAAATTTTCATTTGAGAGACAATTACCCTAGATCAAACTGAGTTTTAGAATGTTTCTTTATTCCATTTGACCACAGACAACAGTCACTAAACGGATTATTTCTTGCCTTGATATGAAATGGTGAAAACACCATGAAAGAAGATTTACCTATGTCCAGATTTCAGCTGAGATTTTGGCATGCAGCATGGGATCTGATCTATAGATCCATAGTGGGGAGTCAGCCCTAACCTCTCTCTGTACCTAGAGTGTGAATTTCCTGGAGTCTCTCCAGCTTTACTTACCTGCAGATAAAGTTTCTTGGCTGTAGAAATAATATGCACACAGGCCGATGAAGACAGGGACAAGAAGCCTGACTGCAGCCATTGTGTTGGTTTTCTGCAGCGACACCAACGTCAATCATTAAACACAACAGGCCCCATCATGCCAAATGATAAGCAAGCGAGGGTCATAAACTGATTTCTCCTAAAAGGCTTATGGGGGAATGGGGCACTGCCTCCCTCCTGGCAGCAGCTAGTACTAGACTATGAGTTCTCTGGAGCAGGGACTCGAGTGTTCCACCCAGTTTCACCTCATGTGCTGTGCAGCATGTACGGTGACATCTTCTCTGTGCTGCACCCAGCTGATCTGGCCCAACTCACACCACAGGTATCACTGGTGTGTCACTGGAAAAGCCAGTCACCCCTCTTTGGGGTGGGAGAACAAACTTAGGAAACTGCTGCAGGATTCAAGCAGCTGCTCAAATTTTCCACTTCCTAACCCATGTCAGTATAAACATTTCAAGGGAATTTGGGGCAGGATGAGATCCATTGGCTGGATCCCAACTTGCGGGATGTTGTCTTATCAGTGCAAGACTCTTGGCAGTGAGGTTTTCATCTCTCCTTATTCAGGGTGGGACTGATTCTTGCTGTGTATGTGGACATCTCTTCCTGTTGTCTTTTGGAAATGATGCCCTCTAATCTACAATAAATTTCAGTGGTGCAGCAAAATACTGGGCTGGGTTTTTTAAAAACATTTGTACCCTTATGAAATGTTATTGGCTGCCCTGTGGTTTAATATTGGACTGGATAAAATAAGAGCTACTGGTTGTCCTTCATACCACTTACAATCGCCTGTCTCTCGGGAGCTCAGGGCATACAGGTTGCAGAGTGAGGTGTGCAAGGGTGCGTGTATACATCTAGCTTGGGGTTCTTGCCAAGAAAAAAGGTCCCAGTAGCAGCTGAGCTGCAGACAGTAGGATTGGTGGATAAACAGTGTTGATGATTTCCTGTGGATCTTAATTACCAAGAGGAGTGTCACTACATTAGATTGAAACCAAGTAAATCTGAAACTAAAGCTGTTTTGACTATGAATGTTCACCAGGAATGTAGAAAAGTCTAGCTTCCTTCCCTTTCAGAAGGAGACTGCTCCTGGCTCAAACACAATCTGGCATTTTAAAATAAAATCTTTGCTGAATTTACATGGAGTGAAAAATGCTATGTTGGCAATGGTAGGTGAAGTCATCTGTCAATAGATTCTCCTTCCCCCCCATTTATCTCTCTAGCCTGAAAAGGGGGATTGCTTGGGGTGAGAAAGTTCAGTTTCCAATGTCTCTTAGCTGAAACATCACCACAGCTGCCTGTTGGCTATGGATACCCACCCACTCATACCCGAGGCATTTATTTAATATAGACCACAAAGAGCTCCCAAGGGCTAGTCTCTTTCAGTAGCCAATGACCTGGACTGCATTGGGCCAAGTAGCATAGAGGTGAAAGGCTCCATGTACCACCACCAAACTGGGATGGCTTGATTTCTAAGTAGACCCAAAGTACAAACAGCCATATTCTGCTTGGCCTGCCTCTCTGAGCCGTGCAATGTTGGCAAAGACCTTACAGCTGTGGGTTAGAAATGCTCTGATGGTTTTTCTTTGTAGCTGCAAAGTCTGGAAAAGTGCGACATCCAAGGCACACAGCTGGGAAGCATCAGGCTTTGGAGGGAGGCTTCTGTCGCTCCCACACCAGCGCTTTGCAGTCTGCTTCTGCTCCCAAGGTCACCATGCCCAGAGTCTTTGGCCCTTTCCCACAACTTATGAACAAGCAGGTTTGTACCTGGCTCTTCTGCTCATGTGTTCCTGGGGATTCCAATCTTGCCATATCTTCCAGACAGAGAATTCCTGGAGTCTTGATGCTGAAGCATGTTATGTGGGGTTGCAGGCCTTTCTAAGGTGGGGCAAGTCTGATAGTAGACATTGACATAGGCACCACTGACCAGAGTCAGAGCCAAATCTCTCTCTGCTGCTCCAACCTCACCCTTCCCAGCAGAGATGCTCTGGGAACAAAGGCAGGAATAATCATTGTAATGGAGCTCATGGCTCCCCCAGCCCAGCTTCAGCAGCCTATTCCACACTAGAGTGGCTGAAAGGGAATAGACAGCAGTCCTGGGGTTTGGTTTAGTAAGCTGTCTTGTAAAGGAACCATTCTTGCAGTGCTCTCTAATGAGTGTTTTTATTTCTGATAGATGGACAGAGCAACAGCTTCAAACACTGACCTGAAGTATCACTGGGCTGGTGTCTCGACAATGAACCAGAAAAGGTGTGAGGGTCTGATGTACTGGGGAAGGTCAGGTCTGGCAGGCTAACAAAGCAGGGTGGTGGGAAATGAACACGTGACAAAGGAAAACAGGTGCCTGCCCAGTGTGATTTGAATATGCATTTAATATGCCCCAGGTTTGTAATACTCCTCCTCTTTCTTCCTAGTCCTTGTGGTGCAAGGTTCTTTTTCCTTTTTGCCTTCTCCCATGGAATTTTTATATCTCCCTTCCCCTAATGTTCTCTTGTTCTCATTTTCAGCAATCCCTCACAGGCAAGGATAATTGTCTTCCATGACTATCTTATCTATGTCAAGATGGCTTTATGAGGCCTGTACTCTACTGCAGCTTGGACATGTGTTTTCATGTGGGGTGGGTGGCACTGGATTCTTGATTTGGTCTGCGACATGCTATTTCTGCCACTTCCACTTTTCCACCTCCCAGCTGAACAACAGGTCATCTCCTTTACTGAACTGTTTGTCTTCCAACAGCATGATTGATCTACATCCTATAGTGTTGAACCCTGCAGGCTTCTACACCTCCCTCCAGACTGGCAATCACATCAATAAGCTGAGGCACACCAGCTTCCTAAGGTAATTGTCATCCGACTTACTGTGTCAGGACTGATACCTGTATTTCTGTGGGTTGCACCTTCTTGTGCAAGGAGTCCCATGGAAGTAGTGAGGGAGGGGCTCAATTCAGTATGAAAAGAGGATGAGAACCCTGCCCCTGGTGAAGAAACTATTGGCTCATTGTGTGGAGTGGCTGACAAAGCTCCTGTTTTACCAGTGCTTGCTCAGAGATAGCAGAAAGAAGGGAAGATCTTAGTCGGTAGGAAAGGGTTAAAGGTTTAACTGCTGCTGCAAAATGGCAGGCTACAAGACTGACTTTGGAAGAATCAGACACTTGACCAGGAAGAACTAGTAATGTAGAGCTGCAATTTGTTTGTATAGAGTAATGTTAGGTGGTGGGTTTTGTTTGCAGGGGCATTTACTCTGCCCTGTTCCTGTATATGTGCATGTATAATATGACATCAGCCATTGGAGGGCTGATGTAGCTTTGCCTTATCTATCATTGCTGCCTGAGGAGTGCTTTGATAGCATTCATAGATTCTCATACTTATAATGAATGAGAGGCAGGTGGGGACAGAAGGGGGGATTGTTACCTACCAATCATATTCTCAGTGAAGATCCCCTGAGAGAAGTTATGTTTTCTTATTCTAGGCCTCTTGGCATCAATCCCACACCTTCCCAAAAACCAGGCCCTTCTGGCACAAAATCTGCAGCCTCTGTTTTTAACACGCCCATGCTGGCCAAGTTTCAAGTTGGCTCAGAAGATGACATGGATAATGAGAAACCTGGCCCCAGCTCTCCTCCAAAGGGGGCATAAGGGTCTCTTCCTGTGTGGAAAACTGCTACTTGAATAAAAATTCCATGGAAGCTACTTGGTTGCGTAAAGGATGCTGCTATGTAGAAGTCCTAGCCCTGAAATAAAAGAAACTCTACGTGATCGGCTGGGGAAGCTTTGGCAAGCAGGACAATTCTATTATTCTATCTTTAGCCTATTACCTGTGAGCTTTCTCTACCCCCAGGCAGCAAGGAGATCCACAACTCGTTGCAAAGTATGAGCCCCAGCTCATACTTGTAGTCTGTGGGGAGAAGGACATGAAGTTACCAGTGGCATGTATAGCAGGATCTCCCTTATTCTGTTAGTCCCAAAGACATTTGAATTCCTTGGGAGATAAGTGTCTAAGTACTACTGAGAATATGGGCTTTAGCTGTGAGTGTCTTGGGCTAGATTTGAATTCATGCCTGAACAGGGAAATGCTGTGCATCTTAAGGCCAGCTCTCCACACTTTGCTACTAGAGAGGCTATGCTCTTTCAGTGAGTGATCCCAGCAACCCTGCTTATCTCCAGTAGTTATTATTTTCAAAATATTAAACATTAACATAGGAAACTCTACCCCACAAGATAGGAACAAGCCATTTTAATCTGCATTCCAAGTGCAATCCCTAGAACTAACTTGCAAGGATTCCTGCCTTCTAGTCTAACCACAGTGAAATATGTCATGAGAGACTGACAATTGTTTATTTAACAGAGGCAGCTCTTCTCATAATAGGAGGCTATTATTAGGGGCAGGGATACCTTGCAATGGTCTATATAGGCAGGAGACTCTGCTCAGGGTGGTCTCTTGCACAGATGTATAGGCAACTGGTAGGAAGGGCGGGTGGGGGGGGGCATGTGCCCCCCCGACAGGGCTGTCCCTGCTGGCGGCGTCTGCAGCTGCTCGCCAGCTACGTCCCTGCCACCAATGCCGCTGGTGGCTTCTGCCCCTCCAAGACTCAGAAAGCACCAGTCACCCATGCACAGATGCCACTATCCTCTCTTACTTCATCCTTCTAAGTGTTTATAATTGCAGCCTGAATTCCTCAAATGGGGTATGAAACAGCTTTACATTTGACTGACTCATGGGAAGGAAGAGAAATTCCAAAGCCAGCAACACAAATCTTATAAACCAGTGGCCACCAACCTGGGGATCCCAATCAACAGGTCAATCCCGGAGCCTCTTTGGGTCAATCCTGGGCTGAGGGAGAGCTGGGTGCATGCACATGTGCACAACTGCCACCCCCTGCCCCAACAGGTCAATCTATTTGAGAAGGAAGGGGCGGGGACGAGATCGAGGCCCCCGCGGTGAGTGACTGACCGTGTGGCCCAGCCAGGAGATGGGGAAGGTAAGTGGGGCCCCAGCCTGGTGGGATGGTACGAGGATTGGGGCCTTGGGGGCTCCTCCAGGGGCGTGGGGGGCTCCCTTTCCATTTCTGCGGTGGCAGACGAGGCTCCTGCTGCTCCTCGAGTCCTGCTACAGCTGGCTACATATAGGCATGGCTCAGCTCAGGAGTGGGGACTCACGTGGGGGTGGCCATGGCCCAACAGGGTCTGGGAAGATCTGGTCATCCAGGGATATGTGGGGGGGGCTCCCGCCACTGGATGCAGCTCAACGGAAGCCCTGCGGCCCTGTGCCCCCTCGCGCTCAGGGTGCAGCAGGCAGCCCACAAGAGCATTCGCCTCATCCTGAGCACAGGTGGGGTGGGAGGGTGTGGGACCCTGGGACCTCTGTTGGGCTGCGCCCAATGGCAGGAGCCCCCCTGTGCACCTGGACCAGCCACCTGGGCTCTGACCCTCCCTTGACCCAGCCTGGCCAGGGCCCCACTCACCCAGTGACAGGGACTGCAGGGTCATAGGCGGCAGAAGGGAGGGCCAACAGGACTTAGCCCACCCACACACATGGGGCAGTGGTAGGGCCGCAAGACAGCCCGGCTTTGGGCTTTTGGCAGCTGCAGCAGGGGTGGGAAGTCACGCACGTAGTGGTGAGTGGGGGACTGGAGTAGGGGTTGATCCTGCACAGTCAGGGAGGATGCAGGATGGAGCTATGAGCAGCTGGTCCAGGGGGTGCAGGAAGGGGGGGCACATAGCCTGGGAGGGCATGGGGGGTGAGTCCACCTGGATCTGTGGGCGGGGCAGGGCAGGCTGGGACCAGGGTGGCACGTGGCTCAGCTTTTTGGCAGCGCAGCCCTAGGGTCAGAGGCACTGGGAGGAGGCTGGGCGGCTTGGGCAAATTTTCGGGTGCCAGCAGCCCTCCCCGTAGCCTCAGTCCCAGCACCACTGCTAAGCCACGTGGCCAAAGAGCCCTGCCGCCCCAGTCCCAGCCTGCCCTGCCCCATGTGCAGATCTGGGGGTATGTGCCTGCCATGCCCTTCTGGGCTGTGTGCTCCCCCTGCATGACCCCTGGATGAACCTCTTACAGCTCCATCCTGTACTCACCCCAGCTGTGCGGCCCTGGCTCTCATTCACCACCGGGAGGCGGGGCAGGGGGCAGATTGAGACCCCAGCGGTGAAGGAAGGAGCAGGGCACAGGTAGAAGCAGGGGCTGGGGGGAGTGGGAGACAAGCAGATGCCTGGGGGCAGAACAGAAACACTGTTATGTAACACTTCCCCAGGCCCTGCTCTCTCACCTACTGACTTTATATTCCTCACCTGCCAAACATCCACAGCCCCCTTCCAATTAGTCCTATCCTTTTACTAAACTGTCCTTCTCCCACCTTCCTGCAGGTGACAATTGTAAGAGAATTGTTGGGGTTTTGATACGCACAATATACACTTTCCAATGAAGGCAGAGCACAGGCATAGTCTGAATGGACAAGCAAAGAAAGAGAACCTCATGGAAGATGTTTCCAGGCTCAGTTCAGGAAACCCATCGAACTGAAATGTGTAAAGGCTTGCTGCCCTCTGCTGGGCCATCAAGGAATGCACCTTTGGTGTCACCTCTGACCTGTCTTGGGTTGAAATATCTCTTAAGATATGCTGGGTCAATGGAACCTGCAGGTATGTAGGTCCAGAATCTGCTTTATAGAGGGAATTTGACACATTAAAAATCAGGGTCTTGATTAGCTGTGCTCAGTCCCATAGGCCACTGTCTGTAGTGCCAATAAGAGTCACAGTGGCTCAAAGGACCTGGGTAAATCATTGTAAAAAGAATCCTGATGCAAAGGTTAATCACTGTGCTGACCAGCTACTCTGGGTTTTTCCTGCTACTCCCCTAAGTGCTTTCTGCTGACAACCTTGTTAGAGTAACAGTCTGACTGAAACTCCAAGGGACCGTAAAACTAAAGAAAGTGAAGTCTAGCACACAGGGAGTCTGGTACCGAACATTCTCAAACTGGCAAAAGTCATGACCACCATGCTGCAGGATCTCGCAGTCAAAGCTGTAATCTGTTTACTCACCATGCAATAATTACCTAGTTTTGTTAGGTGTGGTTGCTTCCCTTGTGGGAATTGTATCAGTACAAGACAATCAAAGGCAGCAATTTCCTGTAGCAGGAATTCAGTTTCAAGGATGCCAAGTGATCTGACCTTGTGGGCCCAATGTTCAGTACTGCAATTGGGAGCTTCTTCTCATGGGCAGCAAGAGCAAACCTGTAACAGGGGTACACCTGCAGGGCCACCAGGAAGCAAAGTGAAGTGCACCAAGTAAGAACAAAAGAAAGGACCAATTCACTCCTCGGCTGCTATCCAGGGAGTGAGAGCGGGATAGTTCTATACATCTTGTTCATATAAATTGCTCTTTGTTCAAGTACCAGCTACACAGGATGGAAGCAGCAGCTCCTCAGCTCCAAATAGGGGCACGATTTAAATACGGTGGAAAATGCACAAGTACAAACCTTCCCCCTTCAGTCTGTTATTGCATAATTCTCTTGGCCAGTCACTGCTGATTATCACAGGTGCCTGGTCAAATGCTTCCAGCTGCATGGACTATGTGCTCTGCTCTACTGGTTTTGTAAGTGAAGTCCCAGAACAAGCCTGAGACACTGCGGTCACTCTCAGAGGATATTGATTCAGGGCTCCTGAAACCCTGAGGATCATAAAGAAAGCTTGGTTTTATCCCATCATATGAATTTCTCTTAAGGTGTATGTTAATGTTTTAAACTACAGCTTTCTCATGGAAAGTAACCACTTAAACTGTTCCTCAGTCAGATACCTCCTGGTTAAGGACAGGCCCAGAGCCAGGATCAATAACAGCAGAGGCAAGAGCTGGTTAAGGGAGAGAAGAGATGGAGAAGCAAAGAGGGGATGTGGTCAACAGAACTGTTACAAATGTCAGGTGAAGACTGTCTGCTCCCTCTTATTCCTCCATGTTCTTCAACAGGCTAATGAGGAGTTAACTGGTAACATGAGCTGTCCCTGTAATGCACCCGCTCTTACATCAGCTTGCATCCATCAAGTCTGTACCACAGAGATCTTCCAATACTAGAGACAAAAGCCCAAATCCTCCATGGTACTTAGGAGCTTGCCTCTCACTGTGTTCATCCTGCCATTTGTATAGTATTAGTGAATAAGAGGAATAAAATCCACACCAGAAAATCCAGAGGGAAACCTGGGGCGGAGGAGAGGGAGAGGGATTTTGTAACATTCAAGTGGCCCCAGGACTCCTGGTATGGCCTCTAGAGCAAGGCCTAGGAAAAACCTTTCCGGTAGTTAAGCAAGAAAACATGGGATGGTCTTTGTAGGGCTAATTTATGATGTAGGTCAAGCAGGTAATAGGGGCACCTGGGCAGCAGTGGAGCCAGATTAAGATAGTACAGGAGGGCAGAGACAAGAGCAGGCTAGAGGTGTACAGTGCCAAACAGTTGCTTCAGGAATAGAAGTGCATTGTAGTGCCCCAGTGCAAGTCTTTGAGTTTGCCTATATCCCATATTTAAGGACATCAGGAAAGCCAGTTAATGGGGAGCCTGCTAGACCCCAGCAGAGCTGATTAGCTTATCACGTGTCTAGTGCAATACTGACTGGACTCCATACTATTGGAGAGGCTTAACCCTAACACAGAGAAACTGCTTGCAGGGACCTTGCAGGGAATGTTATAAATCCAGGCTGTAGGAATAAAACAACAAAATACAAGGAGGCTCTGGAGAGACAGTGGACCCAAAGATAGGGAACCAGAGATGATGGATCAGGAACCATGTGGAGACAGTAGCACAGAACAAATGGGAATTTAGCATAGGAGAGCTGTTCAACTGCTTGTAAAGAGGATTCTGCCACCAGCACAGAATCTGATTCAGCCAGGCACTGGCACACAAAATTCACTCTTTCATGGCTCTTGGAATGCCTGAAGAATGTCACATCTCGCTTCAGGATCCCACCACATTTGTTGCAGGCTGGGATGTGGAAATAATGCACCTGTTCCTGTGTGAGGAAGACATCCCCATCAGGCCACGCCATGTCCTTCAGCTCTCCATGTCATATTCATGACTTCAAAGCGCTCTTGAAGCTCAGAGTTGGGGGGTGATCTCCACAAATCAAGCAGAAAACTCTGAAGCACAAAATGCTCATCACTCCTGGGCTCCTGGGATTCAGGGAGGTCAGAAATTTTAAGACCAGGATGGATCATTATGCTCATCCTATCTGACATCCTGCGTATTACTGGTGAAAGGACTCACCCAGCTAAGTCTGTATTGAGTCCAAAAGTCCCACTGTAGACCTCACAAGTCTGGCCAAAGAGCAGAGCTGATTCAGTCTTCCGCCGGCCAGAAGGATGATAGAGAATTGTGTTTAAATAATCTATAAATATGCTCCTGAAAGTACCACCCGGTGTGAGCAGAAGGATTCTGTGCTATGGAGATCAGTAAGAGGTCTGTTCTGTGCTCTTGCCCTCACTCCTATCATGAGGTAATTCCTTATTCCTGATTCAGTTGAGATTCCGGTTCCAGTTATTACAAAGAGCCTCTGGGAATGGGGAATAAAGCACTGGCTACAGAATAGGATCTGCTGTGGTGGAACCTGAGAGTTGTGCAACCTCCTGATGCCCTTCCAGCACAGAACATGTTTTCCTGGGACACAAGAAAGTAGTTCAAGCTTAATTACAGGGTTACATTTTCATAGGATACCCTGAGGAGCCAATGATGTTGATGACACTTTGGCCTTTTATTTTGCCTTCCAGCCGAGAATCTCAAAACATTACAGGAATGTTAATTATTTAAGCTGCACTCTGCAAAGACGGTCATGCAACAAATCAGTGGCAGAGTCAGGCATAAGGGTCAGGACTCCTGACTTAGTCTCATCTCACCAAGACGGCCTAACCTTTCCTCCTTACCTGGCAGCTAATTCCCCTCTGGCAGTGGGCAAACTTGGAGAGTTATGGAGCTCATTCTTAACATTTTGTGATCATTCTATCAAGACAGCCAGACAAGAGAAGGGTGTGAACAGACTGGAGGCATTGTTTTAGACTGGCTGGGTTTGGGGCAGAACAGACTGGAGGCATTGTTTTAGACTGGCTGGATTTGAGGCAGACAGCCTTGCTTTCTGGTGTATGTGCAAGGCACCAAGGGCAGCACTAAGGAACTGGGGGAGAGAATCACTGAGGTGTCAGGTTGGGTGTTTTTTGGAAAAATATATTTCTATAATATATAAATTAGCCCTGACAAACTATTAAAAAAATAGTTGTGGCTGCAGCAAGAAGGGCCCAGCAACGGTGAGGGGGAGGTGCTGGTCTCCCCCGTGCCCCCTCCCGCCTAAATAGCAGCTTCTGCCCGCCCCTGCTGTCGCTGCTCAGCACAGGCAGGTGTATCTGCAGCAGGCATGGGGCAGGCTGGGGACAGGGCTGTTCACACGTTTTGGGCTGGACTGCTCTGCTGGTCAAAATGATGTGTGTGATTAACACGATTAAAAAAATGAATGCATTAATTTGTTTTTTGCATTAATTGCATACATTTACTGCAATTAATTGATAGCCCTAATATACATAGATAGTTATACATCATCAGACTGACCAGTCTTCAATACTCTAAACACTATTTCAAACCATACACCTGTTACAAGACTTGCACCCATGCTCCCATGCACCCATATGTATTTCTTTCACAGTTATGTTTACACTGTCCTTTTATTTGTACCTCTGGTTGCTACATCTTAGCCCTTAGCTCATATCACTGTCACTGTGATTGGTGTTTCCACTGCTGGTGTCATCTCTGTTGTTCTCATTGCTGTCACTCAACCCCGTCAACTCCTTTTCTTCTTTGTCACTGTTCTCTTCCCTGCGAGGGGGATCAGGTACAACATCCTGGTCCTGCCAGGGGGATACCTGGCTGCTTCCCAGGCAGGGATCATTGCTGTGTGACTCCCAGTGCAGATCACTCCCTGCATCAGGGTGAAGTGTGTCCACAGATCAAAGCCCTCGCCAACAGCCAGAGCAACCCCCCTGTCAGCCCTGCTCACTATGGAGGGTGCCCTGCCTGACCCTGGCCTCTGATGTGCAGAGTGAAGAGAAATCACCCTGCAGTGTCATCTCTCCAAGACAGAGACCCTGCTGGTGGCCGCCTTCCAGGGGCACCTGTGGGAAGGAGAGAGCAGAGTCCCAGCCCTTGTACAGAGCCTGCGCAGGGCAGGCTATAGAAGTGAAATGGCCTATGCTGTCCCCAGAGCCATGCCCGGTGTTGGGTGCCTCCCCTGCAGGCAGGGCAGAGGTCAGGCAGTAGCAGGCTTTGCTCAGCCACTTCCCCATCAGGAGCTGGCTGCTGGAGGTCTCCTGGCCTGCCAGACCCTTTGCAGCAGGATAGAGGGTGCCAGGAGGAAGGGCCTGATGGAGAGAGGGAGGAGGGCTTCCAGCCAGCCCAGGAGAGAAGCAGAAGAAGGGCAGTGAGGAGAATGGGTGGCCCTCTGTTGTGTGCAATAGAGCCAGCAGGCACCCATGCTGCCTTGCACCTGCTTCCAGGGCCCTCCCCCTCCCCTGAGAAGCCCCGCCCCCTCCTGTGACACAGATGCATTGTCACATGCATAGCTCCTGAGGGATTCATGGGCCCTGATTGGTCCCTCAGGGATCAGGGTTCTGTAGGGAGTGGGTCCAGGAACAGCTGACCACTCGGAGTGAGACAGAGCACTGGTGAGCTCCGCCCCCAACCGCTGCTGGCATGACCTGGAGCCTCCCCCCCTGCCTCACCCACATGAGCCCCGCCCCCCCGGCCTGTAGGCAGCCAAGTGCCCCTCTCCCGCATGCCTCCCCTCAGCGCGATGCTCAGAGCTGCCTGCACCCCCGTTGCTGGCTCCCCACCCACCCCACTCAGTCCGGTGAGGGCTGGGGGGCCCGGCTTCACTGCCCTTCGGCTGCCACACGTGCCACCTGTGCACCTGCAAAACCACCTGTGAGCAGTGAAGCACTTGCTTTGGACCAGAATTCGGATCCCCTTATGAGGGCCCTGACTCTCAGGTTGCTTATCCACCAGATCCCAGGTGGATTTTAGCTTTACTGTAATCAATTGCTGTAGGTATAAATGTTTACCTTGGTCAATATGAATTTGGCCATGTAGTTTCCACTAATGGGAAATCATCACGGGAATAAGTTTCCATCATGCTGTGGAAAAAGCACTTGTTTGCTTTTTTTTACCTGTCTCTTTGGAGGTGGGGAATGAAGGGTGGGACAGAAGTATTACAGAGGCTATCAGTGAACCCCTCCTTTTCCTGCAGAAAGGGATTTTTAAGTTAAAGATAACTTGAGCACACTCTAGAGGCCTCCACCTTCGGTGTGACGTTGGCTTTCTCAAAGTGAACCTGATGGACAAGCTGAAAACACCTGATGTGTCTGTAGCTAAGATGAAGCTTATAGAAGTCTGCATTTGTTTTAGGGCCCCAAGCCCCATTCTCATTTATATTCTGCAGGAGTTTCCTGACCAGTGTAAAAGGTCATTGCTCCTATTCACGGCCCTTAGCAACAGGACTGTGCTGCACCACAGCTCTTTGCTTTCTGGGGTTCATAACAGGTCATGGGAAGCAGAGTGTAGTAGCAGTTTTGAGACTGATCTAACTTACACTGGAGCTAGGCAAAGCCATGTACACTACCAGAAAACCAGAATGGTGTTCAAAGACTACTGGAAGTTGCTTTGTCACCTCATATGCCTCCCTGCCCCAAGTACAGGAACAGATTGACCAGAAATGCAAGTTCCTTATGCTGGGAGTGTGTTTGGGAATCTGGAGCCATACACAAGACACCACAGCCATAATAGTTGGTATATGGGATGCTGAGGAGATGGTGATATGGTTTTATGACCTAGCAGCCCCAGGGGGGCATCAGGGGGAGATGCACTGCTGTAACTATGTGGGGATCACAGAGATGCAAGAGAAAGTGGCACAGTTGAAACGAGACATACAACAAGCAAACAGCTATGCTCGGGGTAATCCTTGTGTTTTAGTCTCCCTTTAGGCCTGGGGCCATGGTAGGAATTTTTCCTCCCAGACTTGTGGTTTCCTCCACCCTCTGGCTGCTGATGCAGAAGAGGAAATGAAGCAGTATTATGAGTGGATGCCTGTCCTTATTGGCAAAGTTTAAAGCAGGGGGCTAAGCACAGGCTTGTAGCAGCTAAGCTCTTGCACTATAGGCTTGAAGCACAGCATGCTTGACTCCAACTTTCATCTTTCTGATGCAGTTTTATGCCTGGTCACTCAGGCAAGATCCTAGTAAGAGAAGTTGTGGCATTTAGCTAGACTTTCTATAGTGCTTTTCATCTGTAGGTCTCAGAGTACTCTGCCAAAGTATGCAGAGTTATCACCTTGATTATGTTGGAGGAAACAGGCCCCGGGAGGTAAAATTGTTTTCTCAGTGGCACAGACTGGGTTGACAGCAGAGTTGGAGACCATGCCCAAGTTTCTTGAATCCAACTATCTCTGGTGCTCTGGTCCCTGGACAATGCAGCTTCCCCAGTTTGCTTTGCTGTCCTTGGCCAAAGTTTTCCCTCTTCTTCCCATGGGGCTGTTGTGTGCCCTGTCATATTGAATGAAATAGTTTGAATGTTTGTAATAGTTGCCCATTAGCCAGTTTAGGAAGAAGACAAGATTTATCTCCTTATCTAGGTCATTGTTTTGGTCTACGTGCGAAAGATCCTGACTTTGCTCAAAGTCTTAACTCTTGAATTTTATCTTTAGAGGTCTTTAACAAAGTTAACCTAAAAATGACCCTTAAGCAAATATCCCAAGTTCCGAGAGATCAACCTAGGGCCTTTTGACAAAATTGGAAAGAAAAGGTCACTTGCAGTGGTATGGAAGTTCCCCAAAGTAATAAAATGATCAACAAAAGAAACTAATTACTAAGCAAAAGAATATGTTAAGTAAGATTCGAGCCCAAATTTGGGAGTAATGACAGGTTTGGGTGCGAGTGGCCCAGGACGGCAACTCACTCAATAAAAACTGTAACCTACT